CCTATTTTACCCAGCACTGGGTTGTATTTAACCCAGCATTTTTTAGAGTGTACACAATACCAAGTAAAGTGTGTCTTGCATTTGATATCAACAGAAAGTGTAAAACAGACAATGACAATATTTTTGTCATAAAACACAAGACTGAAGATTAAGCAGTTATCAGAGTAACCATGGCTTACAAACAAACATCCTGACCAATCAATCAGCATCAAGAGCACTAGAAATATGGACTCAGCATTACTCCTTCATAAGGGATGTGTCCCAACAGCAGAGAATAAACAGGAAAGCAATTGTGACAATCTTCAGGGGCCCATTGGTGACATCAGAAAAAGGAAGAACACCCTTTCTAAATCCTTGTCCTTATATGGAGAGGTTCCATTCTTGGTGAAAGATGTCAGCATGCGAAAAAGTTCTCTAACTTTTTATTTGAGTTTGTTACAGTGTCTTGCTTCAACCTGTATCAACAGTTCTGCAATAAGGCTCAAAGAAAATTCACAGGAATAGGGCGCTGTTGAATACAGTCCAGTGCAAGTTTAACCTCGAGTTGCTCAGAGCTTAATCCTGAGCGAGGCAGATAAATGTTATATGATTGTCATGGACCGGTGATAAGCAGGTGTTAATGTGTCAATGTGCTGCTGTGCTCGGTATTCATAAAACCATTTATGTGTGAGGGCACATGATCATTTATTTTGATATCAGGAGGACTCTTCTTTCTGAATGCGGAAATATAAAATCATTGCTCATGACAACGAGTTTAAGATTAACAGTCAGACAGCTCTCATCCCCGAAACCCAAAGTCTGAGCTCTGATTAATCATCTAAACACCCCCCAGAGCGCAAAGTCTGGCTCTGACTCTAACCTGGCATCCTAATCTGCTTTTAACCACCTCAGTCATTGGATGATACTGTAGACAGTGCCAGCGAATTCAGCAGAGTTTATGATAATATTTTGAAATATTGAGACAATAACAGCTAGTTCACACTACCATTCAAATGTCTGGGGGTGGTAAGATTTTTTAAATGTTTTTGAAATAAGTCTCTTATGCTTACCGAGGCTACATTTGTTTGATTAAAATACAGTAAAATTATAAATATATACAATAATATTGTGAAACATTTGTAACATTTAAAAGAACTTTTCAATTTGAATATATTTTAAAATGGAATCTATTCGGTAAAGCTGAATTTTCAGCAGCCATTACTCCAGTCTTTAGTGTCACATGATCCTTCAGAAATCATTCTAATATGATTTAGCACTAAAGAAACATTTCTTATTATTATCAATGTTGAAAACAGTTGTACTGCTTAATATGTTTGTGGAAACCGTTCTTTGATGAATAGAAAGTACAAAACACAGCATTTATTTAACTCTTTACGGTCACCTTTGATCAGCTGCATCCTTGCTGAATAAAAGTATTAATAATCTCCAACAACAACAACAACAAAATCTTGCTGACCCCAAACTATTTAACGGTACATATATCGGTTCTTTATTTTTTTAGACAATAAAATGGGGAACACTAGTTCAGTCTGGCCTGCTGACACTCTATTAACAGCTTGAACTATCCATGCTACTTCCTGCTAATTTTTACTACTCTTACATCAGTTAAAAGTGCTTCATTTGTTTTAAACCATTGTAAAGTTACCAACTGAGTCATTCTCTAAATCACAATTTACACACCTTTACTAGACTTGCCAACTTGCATCTGTCTCTCTAGCCGCTTTCCCATTATAAGCCTCTTTTACATGGTCAAGGGTTCTGTCGTGCCAGCAACTCAACTTCCTAGTGAGTTAATTCCTCTAAAGACTCTAAATTAACTGTCTTGCTTGAAATAACACTGGCAGTCATAATGACTAATGAGCTTTTGACAAGCCATTGTCCTGCTCATGTTGGACTCAAACACACAATCACACAGACTGATAGTGTAGCTACTCCATGAATCACTTCCTAAAACAGTAAGCAGGTTCACAAACAATGTGTGTTTCTAACTGACTAGTTTTCTGGATAAAATGTTTTTTTTCAAGTGAAATCTTTTAGAGACATGCATGGTTTAAAAAAATAGGGCCTACTGATTTTTTCATGTTTTGAAATAAGTCTCTTACGTTTACTAAGGCAGCATTTATTTAAGCAAAAATACAGTAAAAACAGATATATTGTAAAATATTATTATAAATCAAAATAGCAATTTTCTATTTATATTTAAAAATGTTATAAAGTGTATTAGATTATAATAAAACAATATTTCTGTGATGTCAAAGCTTGGCTTTGAGCAGCCATTACTCAAATAATTCTGATATGGGGTTTTAAAACATTTCTTATTATCATTTTCAGAAACAACTGTTCTGCTAAATATTTTATGGAAACCATGACAATTTTTTTCAGGACTCATGAATAGAAAGTTAAACGAACAGCATTAACATGTAATAGAAATCTTTTGTAACATTATAAATGTCTTTTCTGTGACTTTTGGTACTGACTGAAAGTATTCACATACATTTTATACTGTATACTTAAACAGTTTTGCCTGGAATTCCATAACTGGTGCCATTGTAATCAGCATTTACAGTGACAAGTTATGGGATGTATACCCAAACTGTGTTGAATTTGAATTTGAATTTATGCATTTAGCAGACGCTTTTATCCAAAGCGTCTTACAGTGCATTCAGGCTATACATTTTTTACCAGTATGTGAGTTCCCTGGGAATTGAACCCACGACCTTTTGCGCTGCTAACGCAATGCTCTACCACTGAGCCACAGGAACACCTGTGTGTTAAGAACACATATCAACATGAATCGTCATAGACCTTTATCTGGAGTTGGCCTGCCTTTAAAAAAAATGAAATGCCTTATCTAGTCAAACGAGGATTGTTGTTGAATGAAACTTTTTAGTATGTGCCAAAACTTTAGGGAATGTGGTCATGAACCAAACACATACAGCTGAAAGCAATCTATTTATGACATGAGTTTGTCTTACCAGATTCCACAATGTGCATCTGTGTAAGTAGAAGGACAACCAGAACACTGAATGAAAGTGTTGAGTAGCCATTGTTGAAATTGTTTTACAGGAAATCCTTCACTGACTCATGTTCTACTGTGGCCCTATCTCCCATTTAACAACTTAGCTACATTATAGAGCACCAGAAAAGCACAGCCACTGAGGATTACTGATGCAGATATTATCAGCATCCATTATCAGATGCCTCTGCTCCCTACTTCTGCTCATTGTAATGCCCCCCTGAAACTTCATGTCTGGTCTTGAAGCTGCACTAACAGCTGGTCTCTGTGGGCCTTCTATTTTTAAAGCTCTTATTACAGAATCAACGAACACATGAGGGCCAACATACCAGCTTGTCAGAGACCAGCAAGTGTTGGATGGTAGCCTATCAGCAACAAATGCAGGTACCAGGTAAGTTAAGGTGGGACAATGGAACACAGGCAAGAAGATAGAATGGCTCTAAAAAGTCGGAACATATAAATAAGTAGCTTATTTGTGAAGGCATTCAAACTTTACAGCAGGCTTGAAAGGGTTAAAACCACAGTATCTCGAACTGAAACTAAGCCTGCTCAGAGAGAAGCTCTAATAAGACCTTGCGTGACCTAGCTGTTTAAATTTGCAAAAGCTCTGTTGCAAAGCCACATGGGAGTATGCAAATAAGTATGCAAAAATTATTTCGATTTCAAGAGAAACAGGTTGGATCAGAAAAGGACTTTTAGCGTTCATGCTAAAATTATGCAAATGTGAAACTGAATTTGGCCTCCTAAATGGACGTTTGATAACATGGGTGTGTTTCACCTGAATCTCTCTTTATCATGTGCTCACTTACAAGAGGTGAACTCAATGTGCTACAGAAAACAAGCTGCCCATTTAGAAGTGGGTAAATATTAAGTTAGGCAACTTTCAATTAAAAAAAAAATAAAAAATCGCTAGCCTGTCCTGTTGTTGAAAATGAGAATAAAAACACTTTGCATATGATTATTCAACAGCCACAAAGTTCTACACATCCTGTCACTTGGGTATTTATTAAACATTTTAGCTTATTGATTATGCATTCACATACCAAGTGTTTCATACTGTAATTCAGAAGTTAGCCTAAAATCACACATTAAATAAATAAAATGAATCATGTAAACACAGAGACATGTTTACATGCATACACACAAATATACCTATGCTTCTCTGACTGCATTTCAGACTCTAAACTGAGAGGGCAGTTCATGCTGACAGTAGAGTGAGAAGGCCTCTCTCCTGCCAACCATTGAGCATGATGTGTCAAACAGAGACACTTACTATTAATAGAATGAAGCATTTGCTAAATATACAGTTTAACTGTCTATGAAAACACGTGCACTTCACATACAGTCATTGCTTTTCACTATGGGTGTACAATGAAGAAACATCATATACATCTGCTGAAGATCTAACTGGGGAAAAAACACTTCTTAAGCAGTCTAATCAAGGTTTTCTCCACCATGAACCCAGCACCTGTTCAAGCACATCAAACCCAGTCTATGTTGGAGACTGGTAGCACTTTCAAATACATTAGCCTACTGCCATGATACAATAAAATAACACCTTTGATCAACACAGCCCAGAAACTTTTAGTTAGGTACTAAAAACAAACAGACAGGAAGCAGACTTTACTAGTAGGAGAGGAAATGAGAGGAAATGAAATAGAGAGTCTACAGCTTGTACAAAAAAGAATTA